TATGCATAACTACAAGATAGTCCGTTTACATCCCCTTTTTTGTTTAGTTTTTTTTCAGAGATGGGTATTCCATTTCCATGTAAATACTTCAGGTGCATATATTCAGCAAAATAATCCAATGTAGTCCAGTAGTCCATAATAGGATTGGGTTATCCATAGGACTGGCAATGTCAGAAATTCTTGACCTGAGCCTTTTACAGCTCAGCATATTTTAATGTGGCTTTACTTTTTATACCTCATTTTTATACTTCCAGAATTGTTAAGCACAGGATAAAACAAGACCTATATAACCAAAATGTAACTTCTGTATCTGACAAGGTCAGTCAAAGTCCTTCATGATTTACCCTGAATCTCTGTACTGTAGTTTGTAGATCCTTTATCAGTGTCAGCTATGGGGATGAGTCATGGCCATTGCTTGACCAGTTTGATCTCTGTGAAAGCTTGAGAGAATGTTTTCTCTCCATGTTACTCTCTTTGAGCACACACTACATCATTGATCACATTTCTCTGTGACCCCACAATTATCTTGATCAGAAAATTTGGAATACCACTGAGTTACAGAATTTAATCTGCTTTTTCTACTCACTATATATTTCAGTAAATTCAGGTGTAGAATAAGAACCATCTATATTATACTGTATTTCTTTTCCTTAACAAGCAGCACTGTATGTGTGCATTTGAACAGAGAATGGAGATAATTGAGGATGGGTCTTAGCTACAATGCTGCTTTGAGCTTGACCCCTTCTCTCTCACTAGTCAGATTTTCCCTGGTCCACATACAAAAGGCCAAAAGAAGTCCTTGAGTGAAGGCTGTGCTTTAACAGCATTTCCTTTTCCAAGAAACTGGGATTATCTCTCAGGTCATATTTTCATAATGAATGGCTTTGCCTAATTACTGACTCAGAGTTTCCTCCATCATTTCCCTCAGAAAATGCAATCTTTAGCTTCATCATTCCTACATCATTTAATAGATGCACCCAGTAGTCAACATGTCTGCTATCTACTTTTTCTTTGTTTAAATTCATGGATGCAATTTACAACAGGAGGATTGGGTTCTGTATCATGGAGTGCAAACCATGCCAGTGTTTAGTTTGCTTCTCTGTGTGTAGAATTGGCATCTGCCCATCTTTCTATGATAAGCTGAAGCATTGACTAATTTTTTCAACATCCAAAGGAAACTCAATGACTGTGCCTCTGTGTTCATGGAAGGGATGACTCAGAGCTACATAATTTTATTTGTTTTTAATATTTTGGTTTTTCTGAGACCAGCTCTCACTATTCATTTCAGGATAGCCTCAAAGTCACACAACCCTCCTACCTCAACTTCCTGAATGGTTGAATTGTAGACATATGCCACACATCCTGGCAACTCCAGAGTTTAGAAACAACACATGCACAATAAAAATTCCTTGGGGAATTTCTTAAATTTGATACAGAAGAATAAATAATTTTTCTTAAAACTCTAATTCTCCATGGCATATATTTCTTGTCTCTCATTTTCTATTTAGATATATGTAAGTGCCCATATTTTCTACCTACAAGGGAAGGATAATCTGATTTATTGGGTTTCCATGCATTCTGTCCACAGTGAAACATGTGTCCACTTCATTTTGTACAGCAATGAAATCATAGTTTCATTGTCTTCCCAGGGTCCATGGCTGTTTTATACAGAGTGTCGTAAAAAGTATGGAAAAATTTGGGGGTGAGTATTCAGGAAAATTCCAATGGGTAAACTTGTGAAGGAGATATTCTTTGAAATGAGGACAAAGTCGGCAATCAACTCTGAGTCTTAAGGTCCACAATATAATTAGGTTGAGAACACCTTGAGTTTTTATTTTTGTGGTGTACCTAGGTAAATACACAGATATTTTCTTCTCTGCTTCATTCTTATGGCTGTGAGGTCAAGATGTATTTCTTCCTCCCCCTAAAGGTTTGTGTCCTTAGTGATTATGGAGTAGGGTGTGATTCCTTTGAAACCACTCTATCCTTTCAGAGATACTGTAGGTTTACAGAGATATGAAAGAAGTGGTATCATGACATTTGTTGCATAAGCTCATGGGGTAAAGCTTCCCATTTTCTTACTCTGCCCTATTCACTTATCAGTCCTCAGAATCCCCAGAACTATCCAGATGGTTCTGCTGATTTCACACAGCCCATCATAACCTTGTGACACAATGGCAATAGATTACAGCCTTAGATATTCACTGACACAACTCCCACTCTCTATGTACCTTTGATACTTATAAGCACTCCAACCTTTGGGGTTTTCTTTTATTTTTTGTTTTAAAGAGAGACAAAAATAATGAAAAAGATACAGAATTGTATAGAAATTATATCAGTTGGAATACTAAAATAGTTAAAGTTAAAGTTTTGCTCATGTTGGAGAGTGAAATGAAAGCATTGCAAATACTGTGCCACTACTGAACTCCACCCAACCTTAACTCCGAAATAAACACAGGAAAAACTTCATAGCTGCAATAACCATATCTATTCCACCTGAACTTAAGAACATTCAAAAAGTCATTCCTAATTATGATGTTTTAAAAGTTATTTTGTCTTTAATGCCTATTCTTCATATGAGCTACATTGATTTTGGTTCTGTGAAGAGTTGAGGACCCCCAGTAGTCACAAAGTCTAACCCGAAAAGAGCAGTTCCTGTTGTGTATGGTTTGTAAGGCATGTCCATTTTTATTGTGTAAGAATCAAAATCCAGGGATTCCTGGGTAGGGGACAAGTTCTAAAGTCTAGCATTATATGTTAAATCATCTCTGCTTTCTCAAAACAGGCTATATGAAGGTAGAGAACCACTTTTATTAATTGCAGATCCAGATATCATCAAAACAGTGCTTGTCAAAGAATTTTACTCTGCCTTCACCAACCGCCGGGTAGGCATTCATGTTTCAAAAATGTACACCTCTCTTAATTATTAAACTCTGAGTCTAAAATCATTATATTTTTATAGTGGGTTATGAAAACAATGAACAGGGAGTTTCTTTTATTCTGGTTTTCCTATTGATAATGCTTTGCATAATTGTAACTTTTTGTCAATATGGTTAAAGGAGGGTTTTTTAAAAATTAATTTGAGTGAAGAACAAATAGCAATGAGACAGTTTCAAAACAGGTTAGTAAGAAAGTTACAATAGTTAATACATTGAATATGGTTATCTTCCTAGTAGTTATTTATAGTACAAGATGCAGATATGGTATCCTGTCCAAACACTATTAGTACAAATCTTTCTTCTCATTGAATTAAGAGAAAGTAGCAGTATACCTATCCTAACTATTTTGTATATGCAGACACGAAATGGTCCTTCATTTATATCCCCTTTTTTGTTTACTTTTTTCAAAGATGGGTATACCATTGCCATTTAAATATTGTAGGTACGTGAATTCAGCAAAATAATCCAATATAGTCCAGTAGTCCATAGTAGTTGTGGGTTTTCCATACGACTGGCAAAAATCAAATTGCACAGGTAATACTTGAAATGTTAAAGGAGATTGATACAAATGAAACACATAGCGTACTGACATTTCTTCATTTTAGTCCTGCAATCATTTTATGAGTGTAAGTGTGGGTAAACATGTGTGTTCATTTCTGTGTGTATCTCCAAGCAAATTCAACACAGGTGTGTAATTATGCAAACGTGAGCACAAACAATAGTTCTGTTCCTCCAGCATAAGTTTCCTTTTTCTAGTCTTTATTCATAAAAGGTTACATGTCTTCCATGTTTATTGTAAAGCTATACATTTCCCTAGAAAAGGATTCTGGAATATAAACGTTGAAACCATCCCAGACGACTGGGTGTCCCACACACACTCAGAGGATGTAAGGCACTTATGTAAAATACGTATTAAGCATCTGGCTCGGGACCTCCCACTTGACAGAAAATCACTAAATATTTCTTAAACAAGACATCGATATTCAACAAATCTTCTACAAGTATGCAACCTTTTTACACTTCTTTACAATGAAACATCTTTAACCTTGAACCCTAGCCGATTCGTCCAACAACCTTGATGAAAAACTCCATCAATGCACTTGAAGATGAACAGTGGAAAAGAATGCGGACATTGCTCTCACCCTCTTTCACCAGTGGAAAACTGAAGGAAGTAAGCATATATGAGGGTTTTTAATTGAAAATTTAAAGAATAAGTTTGTGGGAAAGTACAAAGGTCTTCATCTCTTTTTATGGGATAGCCTCCTGCAGATGAGCTACTAAGAATGAGATTTCCCTTTATGACCTAGGAAATATTACACAATTACTTACAAAATGCTATACATAGGTTCGTAACTCAGAATGCCTTGTATTTTGGGATTTGTGTGTGTGAAATTAGCTGAATATTATGCTTTTTTGCTTAGATGTTCCCCATTATTGAACAATACACAGATGTGTTGCTGAAAAACCTGAAGCGAGAAGCAGAGAAAAGTGCTCCCATATCTATGAAAGAGTAAGTTGCAGGACACCTGCTGGGCTTCTGAGCTCTATATGGGACCCTCCAGCTACCTGCCTGGGAGCTAATACCCCCCCTTCTGAGTTACTCCTGGGACAGATAAATTCATCTGTGAAAGACTGGACAAGTAATAAGCCTTCCAATTGTGGGAAGCTTCCAGTGGAAGGCAGGGTGCCTGGAGTAGAAAGATTTGACTTCCTTGTGCCTAGGAACCATGTTTATTTGAGCTGATTATTTGTCAGCTTGCATATTCTAAACAACATAATATGCAGTGAATGAAGAACAAATGCAATCCGAATGAAGGTATGAGTGTAAAGGATGGGCACAGTGAGAGAAGAAAGTACTTGGTATGGAGAGCAAAGCAATGGATGGGTGAGGAATGATACACTCTAAAATCATGAACAATCTAGACATTGTTATAATTTGTGTCTGGTTGTCCCCTCAAAGTCTCATGTAGCCATGGGAAGGTTTATAGAGTTTGTGATTAATTTTTAATTCAGTTCTGGGATTGTGGGTGTGAGTTCTACATTTGCCCTAAGGGGGATAATATGCATACAAATGTAAGGAGGAAAAAGAAGCTAGCTAGCTTCCTCAGCTGCTGCCACTCCCTTTGCACTTTGCTATTCTCCTAATGGCATGTTACATGGCCCTCTTCCATGTACCACTATTCTTCAGAGCAGCAAAATATGGACTGAAACCTCCACTAACTATGAGCTGAATAAACTATTCCTTCTTTAAGTTTTGGGGAGGTGTATTTTGTCCCAGAAATGAGAAGACAGTAACCAAGACAAACCTCTTCATGATTTTTCTAAAGATGCTCAAAGTACTCTAAATATTGCCCTTTCCCAGTACTTTTTCTTGTAGGGCAACCATAGCATTTCTTATGTCAATATGGGATTTTTGACTTATGAAGGACGATCAGGTTCAACTCCTATAGCAGGTTTAAATATGGGCATCAGTGTTGTACTGACATTATTTTTTAACCAAGATTATTATTGGGTTTCATATTCTATTTCATATTCTACAAGAACAATTCTTTTCTTTGGAAACATCAGATCTCAGGAGCTAGGAAAGTGCAGGACTGTCAGAAGACTGAACAGAAATTTGGAGGGTGGAACTGTTTTACTGGGATCTCAGAACCTTTTGCTGCCATTGAGAGATGTCCTGAAAAGGAGTGTAGTTGTGGCACAGATTGCACATCTAGGAGAAATCTATATCAGTGTCACCCTTTTTGACTCACTTAGAAAGAGATATTACTTTCCCTTTGTGCTGCTGATGCATTGTGCTCACATCTGTTCTCCACATTCCATACACATTGCCCATATTTTTGTGATTGGCTCTTTGTCACTGGCTGAACTGCTTGCATGCCAGTATGGGTGTAACTCACCTTAGTGTTCTCAACACCCTAGCACAAGGGCACACTCGACCCCAATAAGTACCCAGATGGAGTGTAGGGGTGGCATAAAGTAATCAGATGACATAGCAGGAAGGTTTGACAGTGTCTGGACCTATGATTTTGTTGACAGTTTTGAATTCATTCCCACATCCATGAGCTCATGAGCCTGAAGGAGCGAAAAACTGCACAGATATTTATTTCTATTTGTTTATCTACTCAGGATCATGGGGGCCTATGGTATTGATGTGATCACTGGCATATCATTTGGAGTAAATGTTGACTCCCTCAACAACCCAGAAGATCCCTTTGTGGAGAAAGTGAAGAAGCTTCTAAATTTAGAGCCTTCCAATCCATTGATTTTCTTAGGGTGTAAGTACATTGTTTCTTTCTTCTTCCTTTTTTGCAAAGAATAGGTTTATTTAGGTTTGCATGACATGGCATATATGTTACCTGCTTAAAATACATATTAATATTTTTAGCATCATTGCTGTCCAAAGAAGAATATTATTGTCAACTCAGAAACTTTGTTCTTTATTATTTTTTCCTCCTAATCCCCTCGCCAAAAGCAAGCACTATGTTGTTTTATTTCTGTACTTTTATGTTTTATACACACTTCCTATGAATAGAATCATAAATGTTCTTTTTTCAAGTTGGAATATTTCATTTAGTGACACATTTTCAATAAAATGTGAACCAATATTTATTTTTTAGACACACAGCACTCTGTTGTATAGATATAACAGATTTTACTTATCCATTGATCACTTGATGGATGTTGGACATCTTTTCCCATTTTGACTGTCATGAATAATACTGTTATGAGAAATTTCTGACAAGATCCTGTTTGGACACCTAGTTTAATGTTTCTGGGTGAATGGTTAGCAACAGCATTGGTGAGTTATAAAAAATTCTGTGTGTTAGACAACTGATGAATATTTTCCATAATTGCTGCAACACATTCTTTTCCTACCAGGATTGTACAAATTCACACCCAACACTTTAGATTCCCATGAACGGATTGCAATCATGGTAGTGTGTGAAGTGGTATAGCTCTAAGGTTTTGATTTACATCCTCATGAATTGATCATACTGTGCAACTTTGGTTATTGCAATACATTCTCTTGATAAATGCCTGTGAAATTCTTTGCTAGGTCTACTATTTGTGTTTTTGTCTTTGAAATTCAATATTTCACTACATCTTCTACTCAGTTTTTTGTTACCAGATATATTACATGTTCTGTTTTTCTGCCATCTGTAAATAGCTTTTTGTGTCCGTACATATTTATAGCACATATTGCTTAAATTTCTTCTGGGAAATTAGCACATGTGCATAGTATGTCTTTTTCATATTTTAATAAACTATTTTTATTAATATGAGACTTATGATATCTTTAAACAATAAGTTTTCTCATTTTCTCATGTACTCTTTGTGTTCCTTTTTAAGAATACTCTTCCTTTTGTTTTAGACATCTTTCATTTTGCCAGTTACTCTCTGTTTATTTAATTTTTCTTGCTGCTAATGTATATGATACTTTTACCCTAATGTTTTTTTCAGTGATTTCTTTATTGGTGAAGTTATTTTTTTGGTGTTGATTTTTTGTATTCTGCTACATTACTTCTTTTGTTGAATATTTTTAAGGGTCTTTTAGTGATTTTTCAACATTCCATGAATAGGATTACATCTGCTGCAAATAATGAAAAAACTCACCCTTTTTATTTCACTTGTCTATTTACTTTTTGGTAAGTTTTGCATGCTACTTTCAGCAGTAGGTATTATAGTAGACATCACTGCCTTACAGATACAATGCTCAGATTTTCCTCACTTAATATAACGTTGGCTAGAAAAGTCTCTTAAATTATTTTGTCAGATTGTGATAAGAACATTATATGCCTATTTTTTTAATGTTTCTTGTCTTGAAAGCATGTTGGCTTTCTTAAAGGCATTTTCTGCATCTATTAAGATCATTTAATTTTTGTCTTTACTTTTTGTATTAGGTATTACACTTAAAGACGTGGGTGTGTAGAACCATTCATTCTTGCTTACCTACATGAAGGGTACTTGTTCATGATGTTTTTCATGAACATTTGCATTCTGTTTCCCATTATCACGTTGGGGATTTTTGCATTCATGTTGGTTAATGAAGTTGGTATACAGATCTTTTCTTAGATGAATCTTTGTGTGCATTTGGTATTAGGGTAATTGTAGCCTCCAAGAATGATTTTAAAAACTTGCCTTATATCCTTATAGTAGCTTCTGTTTGGATTGTTGTTTCTCTATAATTTTTTTTAAATTTTGCTGTACACACACACAAACACACACACATATTAATTTCATTGAGAAAAATTTCAACGAGACAGTTTCAATACAGGTTGGTAAGAGAGTTACAAAAATTAATACATTGCATATTCTTGTATTTGTAGTAGTCATTCAGAGCACAAGATGTAGATATGATATCCTGTCCAAACACTATTAGTACAAATCTTCCTTCTTATTGAATTAAGTGAAAGTGGCTATATATCTATCTTATTTTGTATATACAGATACAAAATTGTCCTTCATTTATATCTCCTTTTTTGTTTAGTTTTGTCAGAGGTGGGTATTCCATTGTCTTCCAAATATTGTTGGTGCATGAATTTAGCAAAATATTCCAATACAGTCGAGGACTCCACAAAAGTAGTGCGTTATATACAGGACTGGCAATGTCCAAATCTGTTGACTTGAGCTTTCCAAAGCTTTGCATATTAACATGGCTTCACTTTTCATTACTTGTTTCTACACTTTTCTACTGGATGCTTAAGACCAAGTAAAGGCAAGACCTATATATAAAGAAATGTAACTTTTGTATCTGACAAGATCAGTCAAGTCCCATCAGGACTTGTCCTGAAACCCTATACCACACTTTGTAGGTCCTTTGTTGGTGTTAGCCATGTGAATAAGTCATGGCCATTGCTTGACAAATTTTCTCCCTCAGAAAGCCTGAAAAAATGTCTTCTCTCCATGTAACTCTCGTTAGGCACACATTACATCATTGGTCACGTTCCTCTGTGGTCCCATAATTTCCTTGATGGGAAAATTTGGGACACAACTGAGTTAAATGATAGTACAGTATAGGTTCTCCTATTTCCTGAGTCCTTATGGACCTTGAAAGGCTAAGGCCAAAATGTTGGCTGTCTTTGAAATCCTTACTTTTCTCTAATTTTGGTCTGCAAACTTAGGCAGTTAGCCCTCCAGAAGAGAAGCCTACTATTATTCTAAAACATATGCAGTTGGGTTTAACCTCACTATGTGTCTGAATATCAAACATCTGAGGCATAAGATAGGACACATATTTTCTATCAAGAATTTACGTGTTAAACGTTAAGTATCTACAGAATATGGAAAATGAATTTTAAAAATTAAAAATAATATTAATAAACACCTACATATTTTTGCACAGAAAATTAGAAGTCTAACCATATAAAGCATTGTAGCAAGACAGTATTATGACTTTTTTTCTTGTCTCTTTTCATTTATTGCTCTTTTTTTTTAACAAAAATAACATTTACTTGAAATACAGTCTGGCAATAATTGGTGTGTCAAGACAAGCATTGCATACTTAGAAGACCCAAATGACAGGCATTCCGAGTATGACCCCACTACTACACATTGCTATCTTCAGTGCAGTTGCTTAGTTCACAGGTATAAACATATATAGTTAGTCAGGGTGAGAATCCCACCAGGTAACTTCTAATTTCAACAACCCGCTGCTACTTCTCAGGATCATTGCCTTACCCATTTAGTGCATATAAATGTATGGCTTTCCCCTGTCATGTTTTATGGTTTTTCTACTTGATTTCTCTTCGTTGCCTAATCCTCAAGTTCTCACTACCATTTTAATTGTGGTATATCACCCTATTTGTATTTCTTCTTTTGAGTTCTTATATAGGGAGACTATATAAAATTTACACATATGGGTCTGATTTATTTCCCTTATGAGTATACCTTCAAGTGGAATCCACTTAAATATAAATGCTTAGAGTTTATCATTCGTTATAACTGAGTATTAATCCATTGTATAAAAATATCACATCTTCTTCATCCATTCCTCAGGTGACGGGCATCTTGATTGTTTCCAAGATTTGGTTCTCACAAATTTGCTGCTAGAAACATAGTTACACATATAACACTATGATATGACATTTTCAGTTCCTCCAGAAAAATGGCCAATAAGGGGATAACTGGCTTGAATGGGATTTCCCTTCCTACTTTTTTAAGGAGTACCCACATTGATATCCATAATGGTTTCACCAGTCCACATCCCCAACAATAGTGGAGAAGGGTTCATTAACACCACATCCTCTCCAACATTTGTTGTTCGGTGATTTGTTTATCATAGCCATTTTTTTCTGGGGTGAGATGGTATCTCAGTGTGTTTTAATTTGCATTTCGTGGATGGCTAGTGATGTGGAGCATTTTTTCATACATTTATTCACTTCTTTACTTTAGTCCTCTGAGAAGTGTGTGTTCATCTCGGATGTTCCTTTCCAGATTTGGTCTCAAATTTTGGAGGGTTAACATGTTTTAGTTTTTTAATAAAATCTAGAGAGAAGACCTTTGTCTGAGTGTTTATTACTTAGGATTATTTTCCAAATTAGTGAGTTGTCTTTTCATTTTGTTGATAATTTTTTTGATGTGAAAAACTTCTCAATAAGAGGAGGTCTCAATTTTTAATTCTTCCAAGTGTGTTCCGTAAGCTTTGATTTTTGTTCATGAACAATTTGCTTACACCTATGTCTTGTGTTCCTCCTACTTTCTCTTCCAGAAGATTTAGTGTTTCTGTTTTAATGTTTAGATCTTTAATCCATTTTTACTTGAGTTTAGTGCATGCTGATAGACCTGGTTAAGTTTTAGTTTTTGGCATGTAAAGACCCAGTTTTTCCAGCACCAATTTTTAAAGAGGCTATCTTTCTTCCAGTAAGCATATTTGGCCCCTTTGACGAAGATCAAGTTGCTGTGTGTGTTCATAGAGGTTTCTGCATCTTCTAATCTATTCCTTTCACTCTTAAGTCTATTTGGTTGCCAGTACCATGCTGATTTTAACACAGTAGCTTTGTAGTATAATTTCACCTCAGGAACTGTAATGCCTGTTACCTTGTCTTTGTTGCCCATGATTGCCTTTAGTATTCTAGGTCTTTTCTGGTTGCAAATAAATTTTAAGAATGATTTCTCAGGGTCTGGGAGGTATGTTACTGGTAGTTTGATAGGGACTGCATTAAATCGGTAGAACAATTTTTGGAGTATGGCCATCTTCACAATGTTGATTCTTTCTATTCGGACCAGGGAATATTTTTACATTTTCTGAATTCCACTATGATCACTTTTTTTCAGA